CACATGAGTTAGTTCGTTGGACTTCCTACCAAGAGGTTGCGGTTTCGAGCCTCGGATGGTGAACCAGCGAAGGTTAGGTATGACAGATTTCCAAGGAAGTTCCTACGCTAGTAAACGCTGCGGAATAAAACTACTTGTTTATGCGTGTTGTTCTGCGAAAGAGGATTAGTCTAAGCCAGAAAGATTTTTAATATATCTTTTCAGAGCACGTTAAATTCATAAAAATCTAGTAAATGCAAGTATGGCATTGTTTTCGGAAAATGAGGAGTGGATTCAGTTAAGCGTTGCAAAGCCGCTACGTTTTGTGCTATAAAATTAAGTACTACACTTATGAGGTTGTTAGTCGTTTAACTACACCAAAAATAAGGACCACAAGCAAACATATATATGAAAATCCGAGAAATATCGTCACCTTTCTCTGTAAAGCCATGTGCAAAAAGAGTCCAAAAGATATCTTTCTAGAGTGCCGTATGAACGAATATGGAAGCTGGAAACGGAACAGGCAGAAGAATCTCAGTTTTCGCGAACTCATAGTATATATTCTGCCACTCCGTCGTGCATTGTAATCTGAGAACGGGACCTTTGCATAAACAAATATACTGCATACTGCCTCAGTATACACAGAAAATGTAGTTCTTTCATTTTTAGCGTGGAAGTCAACAACCGGTCACAATTTGGAGTTTTTTGACCTTATCTTCGACATAGGTAAAGTACGCAGACTGCTGACGTTAAAATATCTGACCGGAGAGACGCGGGTTCGAAACTCGAGAGGGGCAGCAATTTCCGCTGCTACACTTGAGTAGAGTATATCCAGCTGACGACGCCTAATGAGGCAGAAATGACCATTCTGGATTCTCTGTCTTACGGTAATATGTCCTATAAATGACAAAAATGTTATTGCAAATTAGTAAGTCACTTTACAATTAGCCATGTGGCAGGGTTCGTGGGAGCACGAGCCACATAAGGAGATCAAATACCAGGGCCGGTGTGCCCCATATCTGATCGGTGTACGCCTATCTACTGATTTAAACTCTTTTCAAGAGTTCACTTGTTATAAAAAGCTCTTTTTTAATCTTAGACATATTTGTTTGTTTGAGTCCAACTTATCTTACAAATATCATTCCACACCTCATGATGATAGGTTGTTGCTTTATTACGACGACTAGTAGTGACATTTTATCTGCAGATTTTCGAAATATAGAAGTTGCATATTCGCCGGAATGTGCCCACAAATAAATACGCTTTAGAGTTACGTCTGTTGCAGCAAAAACGGAACATTTATATCACTTAGATAGTGCAAGTACTCGTCGAATGTTGCGGAGATTTTATACATTCCTTACCTGGCAGGGCTGGTAGCCCCTTTGGTCATAAACACTAGGCAGGCCACATTGCCACGCAAGTCTTTCACGTCCGTGGAGAGGAACAACAACTCGTTGTGGGTATGTTTGGCGGTGAGACTAGCACCAGACCGGACCACCTGAGTCAAACGCTTAATCCTTTTGTTTTCGTAGGACGCTGGTGTGATCGGTTCCAGATGTTGCAGCCATGCGGCATACTCGTCCTCGCACTCCGTTGTGCTGTCAGTCAAGAGTGCTTCAAGCTGCTCCAGGGCACTATACTCCAGAGTTAAATTCGCCACATTCTGTTGCGAGTTGTCAGGGCCGGCTACCATGAGCTGGTGCAGGGTGAGTGCCTTTTGACCCCAGTAAACCGCATCAGGACGATAGAACGGTGTCAATTGCGGTTCCAACAACAATTGATCACCCTCAAGATCAGTAGCAATTTCATCGTCATTCCCGTCTTTGCCTAAAAGAAGGCAAGAGGAGGATCACTATCATACTCAAACCAACCTGAGCTTGTTGTAGTGTAAGTTATATAATTGCAACTGTCAGATACCTGACTTTAGGCTAGAGACCAACTAAAATGACAATTCTATGTTGGGGGCTGGATGGAGAACTTCATCTCAGACGTATTTTACTTTTTGTTATGATCAGCATTTTAAGCAGGGGTTGGATGAACGCGCTAATTTCAAAGGGGTTCTAGGAAGTTGACCGCTGACGTGCCCTTAACACTAAGAAAAGTAACGACAAAAACTTAAAGAATGCGTCGTAAACCTATCAAAGAATAGTGCGAAAAACCTTGTAGTATTGCAGGTTGTCGGAAGAAAGTCGATTATCTTGATGGATGTTCATTTTTTTGATCAAAATCACATCTTTTCGGTCCCAAAGTCGCGGACTGTTGGGAGCTGTACAGTCCAAATTGTGACTTAAGCGCGGGAACCCGATAATGAAACCTTCAAAAAAGACCGTAACTTTCTCACCTGGGTATATGGCTTTCCACCTCGTAATCAAATGATACCAACCTGCCTCACGGTGCCAGGCTTTGCAGGTAAAGCATTTCTCCTTCTGCTTTCTTAGCATATCCCAAATCTTATTGAAAACCAGACCAGAAATTGAAATAAGTGAACTCTTTATGTCCTTGCTTGCTACTTCTACAAATGTTGTGAGGGTATTTCCGTTAAGTGGACATCTTCGTTGAACAGTTATAAACACAAGTTTCAGTGCAGACCTCACATGTAATTCCAGTAAAAAAAACAAATTAACGCTTGCTGTAAAAAAGGCATTTACGCTTGGGGCAATATCGACGGTAAACCAAGGACCCGGTAAATAGGTAGTAAAATTCGCAATGTAGTCCATAACTTTCTCGTTTATATATTCCAGCGCGTAATAAAAAGGCCAAAAAAGAACAAGGAGGTGTGTCGACAGACTGTGAATGGCCTGAAAAAAAACGAAAGCCGAAGATAATCACTAGAGAATGGTAAACAATATATTTCTGATAGTATAAACCAATTCAGAAGATAAATTGGCGAACATACGTTTGTTTTCGAGAATTATCATCAGACCTTTACATTTTAGGCATTACCGGCAGAAACGTTGGGACCTGCATTGTACGTATTTCGACCTCATTAGGTCTCATCAGATGCAGATACATTTATATGGTAATTAAGTAAATAAACTATGCGAGTTGGTAGAAAAAATAGAACGGTTGTCAGGGAAGGGGGAAGGGGGGGGATCGGCGTCAAAATCTGATCAGCGTTAGGGGGTGACTGGTAGTCGGCCATTTAAATGGAAAGGCCTGATGAGAATTATCGAAAACAAACGTAAATTGGCCAATTCTTCTTCTGGATTTTTAAATGGGAATTTTCGAAAATATAAACCAATTGCCTAAACCCGAAGCCTTAGCCTTAATCCAAAGTTCCAAACCACATAACATTACCCCTAGTCATAAACATAAATCGTAACATAAGCATAGCACGCCTACCGAAAGCAAATAAGAAACTGGGATATAATAATGAAAGCATCGGCTTTATCTAGAAGAACCTCATCCACTTTTAAAAATCAAGGTGTGTTTGGACGCAGACAGCAGAAGTCAAAAATATGGATGCTCAGTGGGAGCCACAGCAGACGCGTCTTCGACCGCGTTCCCACCGGCCCTCACGGCGTCCAAATTCTGCTACACCAAACCTCCCTATGGTGGATCTATCTCCCCTCCTCCATGTTTTTGATACCGGAGCAGCCCCTCTCGACCAAGCTGCTCCTCCTCCTCCTCCTCCTCCTCGCCGCCAGGATTGAGGCCCACTCGGCGTGGCTCCTGATCTAACAAGGGCTACTAGCCAGCCAACCATGCTTAGTTGATCTTTTCCATCAACAGCAATATACCATCAAAGGCGTAGGATAGAACCTGAAAAAAACATTCATTTTTATCGTGTTCCATAGAAACATGTGGGCGTGTTAGGCCACACGGGATTCCATGAGAACTTGCGATAGGATGCCGTCGGCTAAAGCAATGTCACACCTCTCATTACCACCAGTTTTATCGAATATGGTCGCGCCAAAAACAAAGTTTTACGCGTTTTAAGCCAGCAACTCTAGCTGAGAGGAAAGTTTGGTCCTTGGCTCCGTCCACACGTACCTCTTCTGGCACATCCGAGCCTGAGACGGTTTACCATGAATTGGGAGGCTGCCAACTGACACTTCGTACCAGACCGCGCCTCCAGCCCAGTGTGTGTTGTGTGTTTAGTGGCT